ATAATTCTTCAGGTTTATGCACTTACAATTTTAAACACAGACGGCAAACATTGATATAAATGCAAAGAGAAACGCACATATATAAGAGATGCCGCAGAATTCAGGGTCTTTCTCTCAATATTTTATAGAACAAGTTGACAGAAAATATAGGAAGACGTGAATATCCGTTGGCCAAGAGAAGAGACAAATTATTTTCGAGTGTATGGGATGGTTTTACCAAAGTCGACTCTATTCTGGGCCACGTAACAAGTTTCAATAAATTTAAAGGGTTTTGAGTCTTAAATATGTCCTCTGTCTGCAAGGAAATTGAAGTATAACTTAAAATAGAATGATGTTGACTTCCTAAATATTTGGAAACTACTGAACATATTTCTAAATAACACATGGATCACAGAAGAAATAAAAGAGGGAAGTAGGATGTATTTTGAACTGGATGAAAATGCAAGCTCGGTATACAAAAATTATGGGGTGCTGCTGGCGGGAAGATTTACAGCCGAGCTGCTGAGCCTGGACCAGAAGAACAGCCTCAACAGTAATGTTCGCACGTGCACCTTAGGAAAGTAGAGAAAGAAGCACAGATTAAATGCAGAGTCATCAAAAACCCAAAACTAATTCTTTTGGAAGATGAAATTGATGCACATTATCCCGGCCAATCTGAGGAAGCCGGGAGACTCCACATGGCCAGGCCGGGCGGTGACCTGGAGGTCCGTCCTCTGGGGGATGCGGGAGGCGGCTGAGGCCTGCACGCCAGCGCACCGACAACTTGGATGAAACGAGGCCCTTGAAAGAGACCAAACACCAAAACTCCAGAGGTAAATAGATAATCTGAACAGACCCGCGTCTAGTACAGAAACCTCTTTAGTCCTTTAAAATGTTCCCGCGCCACCCCCAGGAGCAGAGATGCCACGTCCAGGTGTCCTCCCTGGTGCTTTCCCTGGAGGATTTGCGGAGGAGATGCAGCACCTTTGACTCTTCCAGCAAATGCTTTTCGACTCATCATCAGACCCATGTTATCCCCAAAGGCAGGCAAAAATATTACGAGAAAAGAAAACAGCAGAGCCCTCTTCCTCCCGGCCACAGACGCGGACATGCTTTAAACTCTTTAGCTAATTCATCCAATAGTGTATAGAACTGAGGCATGACCAGGGGAGATTTATCCCAGCGTGGCAAGGTTAATTTCATACGTAAAAATCAATCCACAGAGGTGATCATATTAACAGAAAAACTCTATCATTTCAGTAAATGAAGAAAAAATATCTGACAAAATTCGGGGTCCACTTCCAATGAAAACCGTCGCCCACGTGGGAATAGAAGAAGATGACCCCAATGTCACCTGCTCTGTCCTTCTGGCTGATGAAACTGACGTCAAGAGAGGGACGTGCCTTGTCCCATCACAGAGGGAGCGGACCACGTGCCCATCCTCCTGGCGCGCCAGCAGGTCAACTGTCACCTTGTAATCAATGCCAAAAAAAAAGGATTTTTTCTTCCTTGCATCTCGTGTCCAATGTGGATAGATGCCTCCTCGGCCCCCCACCCCACATTGCCCTGCCCCTGTACCTTGGCGGGGGACGCTAGTTAATGTCCCAAAAGGGAGAAACACGCGTTGCTGTCAAGGGCGGGCTGGTTAGTTTTGCTGAATGGAGCATCTTGCTAGCCGAAGGTTACTTATTCATTTTTTAAAAAAGAGATTTATTTATTTATTTATGCATACAAGAACTGGGGCACAGGCCAGAGGTGTGTGTGAGAGGATTCACCTGAGACAGAGTGGGGAGCAGAACAGGCGGATGGACTGAAATTCACTGCTGAGGGGAGCAGCGGGGAGACAGGAGAGGTCTGCCGCGCCATGTGGGTAGCTCCCTGGCTGGGGATCGAACTCTTGCTGCAGAGGCTGTGGCCAGCTTCATAGTGCTGCGTCTTTTTTTAAAATTTATTTTATATAATTCTTACATCATTTTTCATCTTTGCACAATGTGTGCATTTTCATTTTGGTTATATTCCCCGTACAATTCCCACCCCCCTTTGTTTTGACCCTAATCCCTTCTCCACCCCTCCCCGTAGTGTCTCTGGTTCATAGTTTTTTGTTGATTTTGATTTTCACTTTCTTATAGTTATTCTTTTTCCTGGTCCCTTATTTAAGTTTTCTAGATTCCTGCTATGAGTGAGACCATCCGGTATGTTTCTTTTTCTTTCTGGCTTATTTCGCTGAGCATGATCCCTTCCAGCGCCATCCATGTTGCTGCAAATGGCATGTGTTTATCTTTTTGATGGCTGAGTAATATTCCATGGTGTATATCGACCACATCTTCTTGATCCAGCCATCTATTTTGGGGCATTTGGGCTGTTTCCAGACCTGAGCTCTTGTCAACAGAGCCGCTGTGAACACAGGGGCGCAGGTGCCCTTTGGAGTGGATGATGCTGCGTCCTCAGGGCAGACACCCAGGACTGGGCTTGCGGGGTCCCGTGGCCGCGCCCTCTCCGGGGCTGCGGACCGCACCCAGCTCTGCAGATGGGGTTCCCGGTGAGGGGAGGGGGAGCCGCCGCCCCTCCGAGTCTCCGCAGCGCGGACGTCAGGCCCGGGATGGACCCGGCGATTGGGGCGCGTTTACCCCGCGGAGGCCCCCGCGCGTCTCCCCTTCCCGGGCCGCGTCCTCCCCCGGCCCCGCCTCGCCGGCCTCGGGGAGCCCCCGGCCCCCGCGCTCCGCCCCCGCCGGGCCGGCCCTGACCCTCCCCGGGGCAGCCGCGGCCCCGCTGGCCGCGCCCGCGAGTCCCGCGATTCACGCGCCTTTGCTGCGTCGTCCACTCGCCGGACCGGGGCTGACCGGCCGCCCCCGCAGCTCAGGTGCCCCCGGGCGGTCAGCGCCCGCCCGGCCCGCGTGTCCGCCGTGTCCGCCGCCCGCGCCGCGGGGTCCGCTCGGGCCCCCCGCGGACAGGCCCGGAGGGGGATGCGAACCCCGGCCTGCGCGGACGGGTCAGGGGAAATGTGCGCCGCGTGGGCACCGCCGTGTGAGGGTCACCCACAGTCCGGGCAGCGCGGGCCTCCCTGGCGGCGCAGGGGGCTGAGATGGAACCTGGGAAGCTGCCCGCAGCCTCTGCAGCGCGGGTTCCAGCCCCGGCCAGGGGGCTACCCACACGGCGCGGCAGACCCCTCCTGTCTCCCCGCCGCTCCCCTCAGCAGTGCACTCAGTCAGTCTGCCTGTTCTGCTCCCCACTCTGTCTCTGGGGAATCATCTCACCCTCCCGCGCATCTGGCCTGTACCCCGGTTCTTGTATAAATAAATAAATAAATAAATAAATAAATAGAATCTTTAAAAAGTAAATGTCAGTGGGAGACAACTGGTAGCAGTAGACGGGGGAATCACATAAAAATTTCACCTATAGAAACTTAATATATCAAAAAATAAGATTTAGTGCTTTGGGGGTTCATTATTTATTTATTTTAAGATTTATTTATTTATACAAGCACTGGGCACAGTCAGAAGCACGGAGGGTGAGAGAATCCACCAGAGCCAGAGCGGGGAGCAGAGCAGGCAGAAGGACCGAAGGACACTGCTGAGGGGAGCAGCGGGCGGCAGGAGAGGTCTGCGCGCCATGTGGGACCCTCCTCCGGTGGCCGGGGAGCAGCCGGGGATCGAACCGGCGCTGCAGAGGCCGCGGGCAGCTTCACAGCCCAGCGCTCAACCGCTGCGCCACCGGGGAGGCCCTGGGGGTTCATTTATTAACTGACATAAATGTTTATGTGAGGCCTACTCTGCGCTGAGGCCTACTCTGTGTTCTTAGGGCTGGTGAGGTGAAGGGCAAAGACAGGTAAGAGCCGGGCGCCTGGGGATGGTAGCACGTGCTGGGGATTAGAGGGCCGGAGTGTGAGGAAACAGACGCCAAATGGGGCAAGAAAGCCGTATCTTGGAAAAGTGAAGGACAATTATGATGTTCACGTGAGGGGATTTCTGAATCGTATCCTTAGGGTCTTGCTGGATCTAAGAACTCTCTCCCCTTGGAGCGGAATTCCTGGGTCTGGTGTTTTCTTTTGGGAAAACTTTTAGCTTTAATTTCACCTTCAGTATCTTTAAAATACAGAGTCTGATTTATAGATTCCGTTTTCTTAACTCAATTTTGACAGCTAAGTTTTTGTAGGATTGTGTGAATTTTGTGTTCTGACCTTCGCTGGAACAGAGGCTTTGTATTGCTCAGGAGCCCTGCCTTTCAGTTGAATTATCTTTAAAAATACCTCAATTTTCTTGAAAAGTGTCCTCACTGCATTTGTCTCCTTTTATCATTCTTTGTGGGAAATGTCTCTTTTTTTGTTTGCTTAACCTCAACAGAGGTTTCTAAAAATTATTATTATGTGAGTTTTTCTGCTTAAATGACATTTGACTTTTATGATCCCTCGTGTTTTATGCTGTCACCCATTTCATTAATTTCTATCTTTATGATTTCCTTCTTTATCTGAATTTGTTCTGTTGTTCTTTTCTCCAATGTATTAGGAAAGATCATTAGCTCAGTATTATTTAGCTTGTTTCTCTTTGGAGCATAGACAGTTAAGACTATATACGGCTTCCTCTCTGCATCGTGCAACTTTCGATATGGAGTGATAGGAGTAATAAAATTAGTCAAGATGTCCCACTCTTACTTCCCTCAAATTGTCATTCGATCATGATGAATTCTCAAAGATGGCAGTTCTCTCAGTGGAAAGTGAGATGTGACGACAAGGAGTCTTTATAAAATTCTTGGTTGTTTTCCTTCTATTTAAACCAACAAAGTATAATTATAATAAATTGTGTTTGGGTATAAATAAATGATTTGAAATGAAAGTGTAATAAACCTACTTTTAAACTTTTTAAACATTGAAATTTGCCACTTTAATGATCTGGCAACAAACTTATCAACTAAAATGTATTAGATCTTTTACATAATAGCACATGTTTTCCATTCTTCATCAGGCTCCAGCCTGGCTTGACACGGCCCTGGAAGCTGCTGGAAGACGCTTAGAACTCGGGATAATACAGCCCACCCCTTTCTCTGCGGGGACGCTTCTCTTTAAGGTAACGTATTTTGTTCAGGCTTTCTTCTTATGCAACTTAAATTGTGGAGAGATTCGTGCGGCCTTCCCAGTTCTTCCTCGGGGCCTGCTCAGTCTCCAAACTTCCCACCCACAAGTGGCCAACTCTCTCTATGCAGAGCCCCCAGGCCAGGCTAGTGTCCACGCAGCTCCCACAGTGTCTGCAGTGAGGTGACTACACATACACGGTGCTGTCCTGTGCGGCGTTTATTCATGTTCTCCAGACTCTCATGTCCAGCCAGTCGTCTGCAGGCCTCACTCTCAGACTAAGAGCAAGCTGCCAGCGAGGGGAGGTGTGGCTCTCGGAGGTGAAGGCACTGGGCTCGTGGAGATGAAGGCCTTCTGCCCTGGAAGCCTGGCATCTAGGGCTTCTGAGGAAATGAAGGGTCTTTGCCCTGTTGTTCAGGATGCGTGACAGCTTAATTTTGGTAGCTGTTTCCCTAAGTGCTTTCTTACGGATTCTATTTTAAACGAGACACCACCTTTTACATTTCCTTAGATACAGTAATCAAATGAGCAACCAACCTCTAAGACTCGAAAGAAGCCATTGCATCCCCCCCCACCACCGCTGGTGCTTTCAACTTGGAAGAAGTAATGAAGGTGTTTGTAACTACACATCACTTTACAAGGAAAATGTTCTCATGGGTTGCGGTCGAGTGAGTGCTCGTCCTCCAGCCATCTCCCATTTCTCCCGTGGGCGAGAACAGTCTCTTCTGTCTGTAATAAATAGGGTCTGAGCCATGATCAGAGTCCACACAGACCCTCTGATGGAAGGATTTGGTTATATTCCTTCAAAACAGGCGTGTTTTCTACCAAACAAAAATAGCCACAGTAGCCTCATTAATGACAGAACGTTTTAAAATTAATTTGTTGTTGTGTAACGTTGCATTCCCTCTTTGCATAAGTGTGTACCCCGAGAACCAGCACGTGTCTGTACTGGCAATGCACAGATTGGGCTTTTTGGAGTTAATTTAAGAACAGACATTTACAGTCATCCGGGTGGCCCCGTTCACCCCACCAGTGAAAACTTGTCAACTTCCCATCAGCTTTATCAGTCGAGGCAAAAGTGACTTAGTCTGTCTATGAAAGGACAAGACTGTAAAAATTTGAAAGGCGATATTGTCCTTACTCACCTCTGCACACTTAGCTTTTATTTTTTTTAATTTTTTAAAAAGATTTATTTATTTACTTATACAAGAACCAGGGTACAGTCAGACGCGCGGGAGGGTGAGAGGATTCACCAGAGCCAGAGCGGGGAGCAGAGCAGGCAGAAGGACCGAAGGACACTGCTGAGGGGAGCAGCGGGCGGCAGGAGAGGTCTGCGCGCCATGCGGGACCCTCACCCGGTGGCCGGGGATCGAACCAGCGCTGCAGAGGCTGTGGGCAGCTTCACAACCCAGCGCTCAACCTCTGTGCCACCGGGGAGGCCCTGCACACTTAGCTTTTAAGCACAATTTCTGTCCTAAACTAGGTGCTCAGGAATGTGTGAGAAAAAAAGAAACAAATTGGCATAGAAGAAACAGAATTCTCTTATTTCGGGTTCTCAGGAAGTCTGGGGTAAGAAATAGGTCCAGGTGAATAACTGAGTGACATAAGCCCTTTTCCTGTCATGAAACTTTTCGGATCATGAAGGGTTTTAGAAAGCACCAGCGCCACGGGCCCGGTCAGGGCAGTGAGGTGCGGACACTCCACGGCCGTCCTTCTCAAAGCAGAGCTGGGCATTGATCTGAAGACACGGTGAATGCCAGGGAAGTGCAGATGTTTGGGTGGCACCCCAGAGGCCTCGCCTGCATATTCACACATGCGTTTCACAGTGATTCTTGCAAGAAAGAATCACACTTGGACGTGATTATTTTCAAACAACAGCTACAATAAATGCATAGATGATTCAGCATATAACGGTGCGTGTTAGCTTTGAAGCTGTCAGATTTGTCCAGTGTACGTTCAGTTGAAAATAATCTCAGTTAAAGCTTCCAGTTTCTACATAAAAGAAAATTTCATGTATTTGAAGATAGAAGCCATAAAACCTTCACTTAGAAATAGGCGGGGAAACCATTTCCTTCTTTAAAGTGGAAATTTATTGCTTGAATAGGCTGCAGGGAGCTGTAGTCTACATGTGTCCAGTTCATGCTGTTGGTGGTGTATTTTTTTAAAGATATGAAAACTTTTAAACATTTTTTTAAATGCAGGGATCAACATCGCTTGGCGAATGAGAAGGTGAATTTGTCGGGTGGACACGGTGAGCTCCGGCCACCAGAAAGGCATTGAGGCAGAACCAGTCGCCCTTGGGTTCATTTTGTAAAAGCGGCTAAAGATGCCGGATGCTTCCATTTCACTCCATGTCATCAGAACGGAGTTAATTGGCTCCATGGTGATTGAAAAGAGCCAATAGAAAATGGCATTGATTATAGTCTCTCCACGAATGGCCGCCATCTTTTTACTCTCTTGGCAGACCCAGCTGCACTTTCCCTTGGCCCCAGGTCACTTAGCACCCAAATGAGCAACAGTTAACGGCGCCAGCTCATTAGCTCTGCTGGGCTGATGCTGCGTCACTGCCTGGGTGCATGTCAGGGCCACAGGGGACTCCGGGAAGGCTGCTTCTTGCACAGGAAGAAAAAAATTCGGTAAGTTTTGATAAATGGCTCCATTTATAGCATGAAGAATTACCCTAACTGGAAATGCTGGCCTCTGAGTGCGGAAGACTGATGACTGCGGGCCAGAAGGCTGGTTTGTACCTGCCAGCGACGCGGGTGGCAGTCTGAATTGTTGAAGGCAAGGCAGACACCAATAGTGATAATAATGACAAAACAGCAATAATTCCTATGTTGTTAGGATGATGAGCGCCTACTCTGCTCTAGGTCATGCTAAAGGGTTTACTTACATTAGCTTGATTAACCCTCTAGCAACACTCTGCGGTCAGGGTGCCATTCAAATTTGAAAATGAAGAAACTGAGGCCAAGGGGTGCTCACCAAGGATTTCAAGAGAATGTGCAAGGGAACAGAGCAGAGCTCCAGCTCCACCTGCTGGGACCAGTAACCACCAGACACTTCTTCCTTTGCTATCGTGTGTGTGTGTGTGTGTGTGTGTGTGTCTGGTTGGTTTGTTGCTATGACTGTGGAAGCAATTCTGTCTACAGCTTGTGTCTCTTGCTTGGGCTATAAGACATGTAAAAATTAACTAGGTTGTACCAGAGACTCCATTTTTTAAGAGAATGGCTGAACCAATGAATGAGTCGGTGCTCTTTAGTTTTCATCGAGAATATAAACATTGGCTGACATACCAGGATCCACAACAAATCATAGAGAGCTGGAGAGAATATTACCGGTGCTGACTTTCCCTCTCAGAATTCCATATATTCTGTTATTAATGGAAATCTACTGCCTAGTGCCTGTTTTATATATCTTCAGATATCCTTGGACAATAACAGGCTAAGTAGATTGCTACAGATTTAGAATTTGAAATATAATGAAGGAATCTTTTTGTGAATTCCTTTGCAGAGTGAAAAATCCTTGACTTAGGTTTATTTATTTATTTTTTTAATAAATCAGTTCTTTGTTTTTAGGGCAGTACACTCTACTTTATAAAATGCAGGTGTTCACTTAGTGATTAAAGGAACAGGAAAAATTTGAGAATCCAAAGTACAGAACATACAATTAGCACACACATACACACCCCACATTTTCATTAGTGTTTGAAAGTCAAAGTCGGACATAACTGGCTGTGGGCAGATGATGAACGTGCGGCACACACACGCATTTCATTAAAATCATTCCCTTTAGTTTCATCTATATCGTAGCAAATGGTTGGATTTCATCTCTTTTATAGCTGTATGCTATTCTACTGTTTATTACCTACCACGTGTTATCCAGTCATCAACTGTTGGGCAGTTAGGTTGTTCCCAGCTCTTAATGAGGGAACGTACGGGTCTGTCTATATCTCCTGAGTGTGTGTTTTCATAAATAACCAGAAGTGAAATTGCTGGATCATAGGGAGTTATACTTTTAGTTTTTTTTCTTGAGGACACCCATGCGGTTTTCCAAAGTGGCTGCACCAGTTTACAGTCCCCTGAGCAGTGCCGAGGTTGCCCTCGCCTCCCCTCCACACCCTCTGCAGCGCCTGCTGGGGAGCGCCACTCCCGCAGGTGGGAGGCAGCACCTCGCTCTTAGTCTCCAGTAATAAGAGCTGGTGAACATCTTTTCCTGCGCCCAGGGGCCATCTGCAGGTCATCTTTAGATAAGTGTCTAAGTGTCTATTTAATTCTGTGCCCATTGGTTTTTTTTTTTAAGATTTATTTTTTATTTATTCAAGAACTGAGGTACAGGCCAGAGGTGTGGGGGGTGAGAGAATTCACCAGAGACAGAGCAGGGAGCAGAACAGGCAGGTGGACGGAAGACACTGCTGAAGGGAGCAGCGGGAGAGGCAGGAGAGGTCTGCTGCACCGTGTGGGTATCTCCCTGGCTGGCCGGGAATTGAACTTGCGCTGCAGAGGCTGCGGACAGCTTCACAGCGCTGTGCTCAACCCGCTGCGCCACCGGGAAGGCCCTCTGTGCCCATTGTTAATGGGGTAGTTTGTGTTTTTATTGTGGAGGTACATGAGGTTTTTGTGGATTTTAGACATTGTTATTATTAATTGTTATTTTAGACATTGTTATTAACTGTGGATTTTAGACATTGTTATTATTAATAACCCTTGTTATTAATTAGCCTGGACCAAAAAGCACTTTTCAAAGGATTTTTTTTAAACAGGAAAACTGGGCAAGAGACAGATACTTCTAGTCAAGGAAGGGGATTTTTACGAATGGGGGAAAGGATTTTCCAACTACTAGACTTGCTTAATCTTATTTATTTCTCACACTTAAAATATGCTATTTCTGCACAACCCTCTCCTTCATTGACCTGTCCATTCTCAGCCCGGGTCACTTGCATGGTGATCATTGCTATTAATCAAGATAGGCAATGAAGACATAATAATGGAACTGCCAGTACCCAGGTAGAGCTTGCTAGGAGCTCAGTGTTTAAGCTTCACAGTAAACCTCTGAGGCCTGTTTGCTGTTATTCCCCTCATTTCTCAGAAGAAAAAAAATAAGGGCCAGGGAGGTTAAGAAACTGCCCAGAATAAAAGAAAGGCCTCATGTCAGAGCTGGGACTCAGCCGGAGCCTTCCCTGGCTGTGAGCCTGAAGCCTTGTCTTTGTCCCAGAGAATGGGGAGCCAACAGCCTGGGGCAGAGAAGCAGCGACTTCCTTAGGGTGAGTTTGCAGGGTCACCGAGGCACCCACGTGGGAGTGGCCAGTGGGCATTTGTGGACATTCAGGTCCCCCGTTTAAGAGAATGATGACAACTGGGCACATCTGGAAGCTGAGAACATATATAAAAAAATGAACCAGAATGGGACAGGTTTTTTTTTTAAACTTGATGTGAGAGCGTGAAGGGTATGCGATGGCCTCTGTCTACAGCGAGGTGACTCGTCTGCCTTTCCAGCCATCCCAATGCTCTCCTCTGTTTAGTGGCAGTGAAAGATGAGATTCAGTCTAGGTCAGAATCTTCAATCCGCGTAAAGAAAGTCTGATGCCTCCTTATGATTGTAAATGAATATAAGATTTCCTTTGAACTCTGGCTAGCCTTTCTCCTCTAAAGCCATCTCCAGCCGAACTCTCACCCATCACGTCTCCTTCCCTCGGCATATTGCTGTCCCTGGCTGTGGAAAGATGGGCGCTTCAAGAGAAGCACATTAGTTAAGCATCAATTGCAACTTAATGGGCCAAGGCATCTGAATGATATTCTGCAATGACAATATAAATCTTTCCTTTCGGCTGTGAGGGGAATACGCTGCACCTCACTGGGGATCTCTGGTGTGGACTGAGCTATCAATAATCTTTTCATAGGAGAGTCAGTTGAATAGATAGATAGATTTGGAGAATAAATAGTCTAGAATGAGAGGAAAATACAATAACATAACGGGTGCAATATAGGGGTAGACGTGCTGGAATGTGAGCGTCTCGATGGAGAGAGATGAGAGGACAGAAGGAGAAAGAAACAGAATTAATATACACGCATGCATCACACGTGCTGTTATTTTTCTGTCTTCTTTCCTAGAGGCTGACAGCGCTCCATCTTCCATCAGCTGAGGAGCAGGCGGCATTTTATGTGGCTGGAGGAGAAGTCTGAACCAGCCAAGCAGGTAACGGCGAGCTGTAGGCCTGGCCAGCCTCACTGGCGATGGCCAAGCTGTTCCTACACAGCCGGGTTTGAGCAGGAGGCGCTCGCCCTGTCCTTTCTCTGCTGTGCAGCGCAGGTTGCGACTGTCAGCAGGTGCACAGGGCGCAGGCAGAAGAGGGGACGGGGCAGGCAGAACTGCAGATTCGGGCGCGTGGAACAGAGGCACGGCCTTCCCCCACCATCGGGCGTCTCCTCAAGTGTCATGGAAGCAGAAATTCAGGGACTAAAACTTCCTGATGAGGTGGTGATGATTAGCAGGAAATGTTTAATTAAGTAAAGATTTGCCTGGGGGCCGGCGGAGGAAGGGTGGTGGAGCTCTGGAGGCCGGGGCGGGCACGCGGGGTCTCCTGTGCCTCCTGAGCCGCGGTCACTGGGCGCGTGTCGCCGAGCATGGGCCGCACCCCGGCCGGGATCCGGGGGCGAACACATTGAAATCGTCACCCGAAAAGGGCTTAGACCTGGTGGGGTCGTGGAGGATCAGGAAGAAGGAAAGTGTGGACACAGAAGAGGTAAGTCATTAAAGTGTATTTTCCATATGAGAGTCCTGGTCGCGAGGCCCGGCTCGCCGCGGCGCCAGCCCCTGTGTCCCCTTCCAGCCTCAGTGGGGACGGGCCTGCGCTCCCTCGGGCGTCCCCGAGGAGAGAAGCGAGGAGACACCACGCGGCCTTGTTTCCTGCTGGGGGCTCCTCCAGGTGTCGGAGCCTCCAGGGGGCTGTTTCTTTGTTCCACCTGAATAATGAAACGTTTCTGAATTTAGCATTCTAAGGTAGGCGCCTCTCTCTGTAAATGGGGAAGTTAAAATAGAAAATATTTAGAAAAACATCTCTTCTTCTCGGTTCTATTCTTCTTCGCAGTCCTTTTTTTTTTTTTCTCAGAGTTTGGGATTTTTTCCTTCCAGGTGTCTAGTCGGGGTTTTAATTCGAACCCTCGAGTTTCTTCTGCGTGGTAAGTGAAGCTAATAACGGCGAACGCTGCCCTTTTATAATAGCACCTGTTAGCAGTGAACATAATATTATTAATATTTAAGAAGGACTCATTGTCGCGCTCGGTACAGGACGCGCGGAACGTGAGCACGAGCTGAATGTCACTGTCAGCGTCGCCCCTGCGAGGCCGCGGCCCAGCTGCGCAGCTCGGGGACAGACAGCGGATGCTCGGCGGTGGGGGCCTCTCAGTTTGCTGTGGGGTTCCGAGTTCGGTACTCGGGCAGGTTCTGTGTGTGCTGCGCGTTAACACCTGCGGCGCCCAGACACCTGCGTCCAGGGCGGCCAGTCGGGAGGACGAGGGGCAGAGAGGACCCGCGGGGCCCGTCCCGGCTCAGCCCCCGAGGCCGCCGCTGCGTGGGGGCCGCCTCGGAACCGGCACAAGCACAGAAGTGGAAGGCTGGGCCATGTGGGTTAAACACACACACACGCCGTGTAAATGCTTCTGTCTTTAAGGACAGAAGGGACTTTCCGTCTAGTTTGCATATTTCAAAGCTCTTAGGGTTTACGTTGAGCTTCTCTCTGCCATCTTGGTGCTCACGTCCGTTTTGCTTTAGTCCTGCCCTCGCGAGCAGCCGGCGTGAGCGGTGTCGGCCTGGAAAGGTTCTCCGCGGGGGAAGGAGAGGAGTTGGCTCTGAGAGGTGCTGGGTGACAGCGGGTCAGGGCTGAGGGACACGTCAGGGACGAGACTCGGAATCCGTTGACCCCGAGCTGGAGTGGCCTGGCGCGTCCACCACCTTCCCGTCACTGCTCTTGGGGGGCAGAGAATTGTCTTCACTGTGGACTTCGGCTGCCCGTCCAGTCGGACTTTGTCCCTCGATGTGACTGGGCTGGTCTCTGTCCTCTGCCGACTCCCCGCCCGGCGAGCGTCCCCAGCCCGCCTCTGTGCGGCGCGTGCTCTCCTCGGAGATCAGGTGCCTCCCAGGGGTCTCCCTGCGTTGTCCAGAACTTCTTAGCCCCTGTCTTCCCGCTGATCGGGTCTGAGTGCTCCCCCAGGCCCAGCTCAGATCCCGTCCTGCTTTTTCTCCAAGCTCCTGCCCAGGCGGCCGGCCCAGCCCTCGTCATGCCGTGAAGGCGCCTTTCACGGGGTTTTCAAAAAAATGCCTTTTGTGATGGAACAAGGACAGTGATGGTGTAAGTCACCCTAGGCAGCAGCGAAGAATCAGTGTCTCGCGCTGGAGAGGGCGCCGAGGCGCATCCGGGGGAGGCAGCGCGGGGACATAAAACGTGACTTCCTCCACTGTCTGGGAGAGCAGGGGATGGAGCCACACGCGAGCCGTGGGGCGGCGTGTCTTCAGCTGCCCTGCCGGGGGCGAGGCCGGAGCATCTGTGTGGCGGGGAGGAGACGGCGGAGCTCTGAAAGGCGGGAACGGTGCAGTCCAGGCCAGGGGGAGCCTTTGAGCATCGCGCCCAGACAGGCGCCTTCTCCGCCGCGTGCCTGGGACGTGCATCCTGTGGGGCCGTGTCGCCTCCGCGTAACCCGGGGGAAGTGTCTTCTCTGAGAAAGACTTACTCTAAGCATTTGTGTTCTCTCAAGGAACGCCACCCAGTTTCATGTCTAGAAAGCTCCTCGTGTGTGGCCCCCTCTGCCCTAAGCCCGCTCTGTCTGTGGGCTCAGGAGACGGATCTGGGGTGCAAGCAGTGGTGGATCCGAGCTCCAGCTCTGCGGCTGTTTTCCCTGGAACTTTAGGAAATTGCTCACCCTCTCGGGCCTTCTCACTTTCTTAAGTCTCATCCTCTTCATCAGTAAACGGGCAATTTTAATAATATCTACTCTACAGATTTCCAGTAGGGTGACATCAGGTAATGGGTTTAAGTAGCGTGTGGCAGCGCGAGCAGTAAGAGCGCCGGCGCCAGGACTATCATCTACTTTTGTGAAACGCAAATTTTCTTTCAAAGGGGATAGTGATGATTAATATGCTGCTCAGCGGAAACTTAATTGCAGGTATAAATCTTAAACACAGACTCAGATATAAATAAATCAGATAAGCGTTTTCTTATTTTCCTTTTCGGCAACTTCTCTTACTTAGGATCTCCAACCTGTGCGTGGAGAAAGCACCCCCAAAACAAGAGCCTTTCCTCCGGTTCAGGACAGCGCCTGCCCTCCGGGCGCTCCCCATGCCAAGGCGTCTGGTGGGGCAATATGGCGTGTTGGTCCCCATTAAATATTCTCATAGATTCTGCTAAGAACCCTCCTCCCTTCCCCCCGAGACCAAATCAACCCAGCATTTCTCTGCAGAGATCTTCGAACTTCTGCTCCATCCCCAGGCTCACGAGTGTGAGTGATGCTGTATTTTCTTCCACGCTAGCGGGCGAACACGCTGCCCCGGTGGCCTCACCATTGTCTCCGGGGTCCTGCTGCCTCCTGGGGTCCCGGCGTGAGGCGTCTGCCTCTCTCTAAGCTCCTCAGAATTGAAGCCCTGTCCCCCGTCCCCGCGCTGGGTCTTCGTGGTGGTCAGTCCTGTCGGTGACCTCTCCCTCCCTGGGGCTCTCTGCTGCCCACAAGGACGTGGCTTCTGGTGGTTGACGGTTCTCGTCTCTGCCCATCCGCTTCCCCATGGGCTCTGACCTGAAAGCCAGAATCGATTCTTTTATTTCTGTATTTTTCGGTTCTGCTTCCCTGCATCCGTGGGCATGTCATTTCACGGCTAGCTGAGGTGCGAGGGATACAGGAAACGGATGCATAAATCAGAGAAAATAAGCCTCTGAAGGGTGGACACGTTTGCAGAAGCCGGACGCCTGCCGCGGACGCGGCTCCTAGGCCGTGCTTGACTTGGGCTGCCACAGACAGGCTTTGCCAGCGTGTGGGTGGTGGGGGTGGGGTCCGCCAGGCTGGGGCCGGGGGTCGTCTCTGGGTGCTCAGTGGAGCCCACTCGAGTCCTGTGTCCAGTTTTCACCCTAGAGCTGTTAGGGATACTTGGCAGGTGGTGAACTGTCAGCGATGGTTACAGTTTTGCCCAATTGCCGCTCCACAAGAGGTGGAAATAGTTTGACTTCTGGCATATAAAGGAAGACGTCTGGGAGGCGTTAATTACCCTTTTCCACTTCTAGGCCTTTTGCATGGGAGACCCTGGAAGACGCCCCCGTGTAGGGACCAGGAGGGATCTAGGCTGACTGTGGGGAGGTGTTTCTGTGTAAAGATGTGGGCCCGGAAGCTGCCTGCACGTACCCCGCCTGCACACCTTCCCCAGTTCTTTCAGACCCATGCAAAGGTCGAGTCCATGAAGCCTCTGTTGGCTCCCAGCATTATGGCTCCTCCTTCCTGGGAATCACCACGACAGGGTGCTTGTGTTCGTGCGTCAGCAACGCCTTGTCTGTGCCGTGACGCCTCGTAGACAGGGGTCACAGCTCTGAAGTGCAGCTGTGAGTCTTGTCCCTGATTCCACGGGTGCTCGTAACCACGTCCAGCTTGGTGCTGCCGCATTGGAATTGATTTTTCTTAAACAGTTAAAATTTTCAAAATAAACCATAGCAAAACAAGCAAACAAACAAACAAGGCAGACACTGAAGTCTCCTGTGAAGCCGACTGCTCTGGGATTCGAGTCTGTCCAGGGACAAGTAAGTTCAACCAAATCTCTGTGCTCTTACCCCATGTAACTTGTTTCCAGCCCCTCTGGAACATTTCCACACTCAGACACCGTTGCACCGAATGCAGGAGCACACCTCAGCCCTTCTTGGCTCAGGTCAAGGGGCACAGCCTTGGACACTTACTTGTTCTGCAGAAGAGTCGGGCTCAGCGTGCAACGCGTGTGCCTTCTGGAGTGTGACCGTGTGGAGGTTTTTCCAATCTGGTTCATGAAATTGCTTTCCATGACAGTTCACGTGGAAACTCACTGGAAGATTCTAAAAATGTAAAGTAGGTGACAAAATATAAGTGGATTAACTTGAAGTTTGGAGCAGCCTCAGAAGGACCCTTAAATCTGAATCCCCCCAACTCCCAGTCAAAGCTCTGCTGGCGAAGGTGAGCACACAGGGGAGAGGC